TGGGTTCTGCGACCAGACTTGCCGAGTCCAAGAACAGACTCGTCGAGTCCAAGGCAATCTTCAACAGACTCGTCGAGTTGTTCTTCCAACTCGTCGAGTCCATGCACATGTTCATACAACTCGTCGAGTACACCCATGTGACTCGCCGAGTCTCTCCAGTTCTCAATCCATATAGAGGATTTTCGAGCCATGCAGGGGCTCCAATCCATAGATCCACTCTTCTACAGTCCAACCCTCACATAAAGTTGCAAACTTTACGTGAAACCAAGGAGATATAGGCCCAAAACACTCTAGGGCTAGGGTTCATGACAAAGGGGCTTTACCAAAAACTCTTAGACAGAACCTTTATGACATTTTGGACCATCACAAGCCTAGATCTGAAGTAGCAACCTCAGATCTAAGCCTCTAACTCGAAAATAGCTCTCAATCATACCAAAAATGCCCCAAATCTCAAATGATAATAGATCTAGATGCAAAAGAGCCCAAGCAACAAATTATTAGCTCCAAAATAAGCTCCAACTGAAGTAGATCCCGGATCTACACCACCCCTTTGCAGCAACCTCTTGATCTTCAAGCCCCTTTCTAAGATTTTCTCCTCCAAAGCTCTATTCTCTCTATTAATGGAAGCTCACTCGATTCTAGGGTTTCTGGATCTCAAAAGGGTAGCAAAGAGGCTGAGGGTGGGTTATAATGTGCTTTATATAGGGCACAACCCCCGGGATTAGGGTTTTCTCTCTTCAGCACACTCGTCGAGTCCAAGCCGCCGACTCGGCGAGTTGGCCACTTAAACCGCGATAGAATCCCGCTCCGACTCGGCGAGTAAGCGGACCTACTCATTGAGTCCCTTTCCTAAATTTACACTTTTGGCCCTTCCTTGAACAATTGAAATTCGGGGTGTTACAAAAGAACAACTTAATCTTAAGTTAGGATTAAAAAGTGTTACTGAAGGTTTCTAATAAAAAGTGAAAAAAGCCATAAAAGACAGGTTTGAAGTTGTTTACTTTATGAATAATTCTGACTGACGGATAGGGGCAACAAAACATGATACTACTGATATATTTCAAGTGGTTAAAGTATCGGAGAAACACACTTGCTCAAACACATAGCTACGTCCCCATCACCGAAAAGCCAACAAAAGGTATTGGGTCACTTGTTTAAGGGCATATTGACTGATAGTACATGTAATATGTTGCGGGGGAATCAGATACAAACAACTTTAAATGACCGTCTTAGTGTACATATTTCATATACCGGCAAGCATGGAGTGCTAAAATGTATGCTCTAAATTTGTTGATAGGGACCCCTGAAGAAAGCTTTCAAAGACTACCTGTATATTGTTATAACTTGGAGAAGAAGCATCCATGGACAGTTACCACATATAAAGATGAGTTATGGCAACAAATTTTTATAGTTTTTTCGTGGCTATCGGTTGCATGGTAATATTCCTTATATAGTTACTTCTTTATATTTAATGTTTTTACATGTGTGTTCAGTTTAATGATGTCATTGTAAATGATTTTTAGGTTCGAGCGCTTCAAACAACTTTGCGTCTTGGAGTTGGGAAAACTGAAAGTGGGGTGTCATGGATTTGGTTTTTATCAAGACTCAAAGAATGTATTGGGGGCATGTTGTCTTTGGCTATCATATCAGATAGAGCCAATTCAATTGAAATGACTTTTCAAGCTGTGTTTCCGAATGCATATTATGGACTTTGTTGTCACCATTTTTTGATGAATATGAGAGCAAAGATCGGCAAGCAAGAGAGAATAGAGATTTTGTTTTTGGAGGCTACAAAAGCTTACCGACAATCTAATTTTAAAGAAAGCTTGAGTAGGTTGCATCTTGCACTAAATGAAGACTATCGTACATGGCTAGAGAGAATCAGTTACGAGAAATGGGCAAGGTCGTGTTTCCGTGTGGCCCGTTACAATATTATGACATCAAACAGTGTCGAGTCCATCAATGCATTATCTAGAGACGCACGGAAACTACCAATAACAATGTTGATGGATTTCTTTAGAGCAACTATGCAGCAATGGTGGTGTCAGCAATCTAACGTTGGAGGTAACTATTTATATTATATTACTTCCATTATAAGTTTAGTATAAAAAAAACTGTGTATGACAAGATATACATACAAATTTGTTTATAGCTGAAAGAAAAAAGGATATTACTGAGTATGCTAAGAAGGTTATCGATAGGAGGATCAACAAATCCTCCGGTATTTGGGTATACCAAATTGATCAAAGAAAATATGAGGTGACTGACCAAATGAAAAAATGGTATAGTAAACTTGGAATCTTGTTCCTACACGTGTGTCAAATGGCAATTGTTAGGTACACCTTGTTCTCATGCAATGAAGGTATTCAAGAAACTGAGATATCAACACTGTAATACATGGGTGTCATCATACTTCACAATGGAAACATATCGATCAACATATAGAGAGGTTGTGTTTTCTTGTGCCAGTTCTAGCTGAATACGAACAACAGGATAACGTGATGGTTGTATTACCACCATTGATGGACAAACGACAAGTCGGACGACCACAAAACCATAACTGTATCCCATCCCAAGGCGAAGGTCCGATTAAGAAAAAATGCAACCGTTGCCAAAGGATCAGGCACACAAGCAGAAACTGTGATGCTCAGTTTCCCTTAGATTCAACAAAAACTGAAACTTCTAGTAGGACCAAGTCAAGTGTAAAAAGTAAAATTAAGTCTAAGAGTAGATCTAACGTTAAACTAGTCGAAATAGTAGTTAACAATATGATAATGTTGACCTAAAAACCCGTGATGATATTTGTACGAAATTAGAATAATTTACGTCGTTCGGAAACGTAAAGTTGTTTTTGTTACATCGTCATAAGGAATTGTTTAAAACACACACAAGAAAAAAACCATAACTCAAACATCAGGGTAATCTGCAACATCTATCCATGAGACACTCTCAATCCACCACAAAGCAGCAATCTCCTGCTGAGTAGGCTGCAACAATTTGTTGGGGGGGGGGAGGGGGGAGGGTGCCTGAAACAATATATAAAGGTTAATCATAAGTTTTTTTCGCATACCAACTTATAAATTATAAGATGAACTAAGCTACATACCTCAGTAACATCAAGAATACGTTCGCACTCAGCAGCGTGCAGGCGCCTCATCCTGGGGTATGCAATTGTATGGGGGATAACACAACTATACTACTGTTGGGAAATGTCTCCATCATCCAAATCTACAAAATTAAGATGTTAAAAAAAATAACCAACTTAAGAAAGTTATAATACTTGACTACTTGTTGCTTAAAAACATTATGAAAACAGTGGGCATACCTTAAATGCATATACAAATGCCTGCAGAGTATATGTGTGTCTACTGCTGATTCTTGGTGCATTGGGGTTCAAATGCTCCTAAATCTTGTCAAACACAGTACGTAGTTGTTTATAAGTTAAATCCAATATCACTCTACCCCATGGGTACCTATGTCAACAATTACACTTAATAAGTATATGTATGATTTGATATAATGTGTGTAAAAAACTATATATCTGTTAAACTCGTTTAAATTAGAGACGAGTGACATATGTTCATTAGTAACCGGCTGTCGAGGGTATTTCCCAAAAAATCCTTGCTCCAGAATAAACAACATCGAGACTCTCACCGTGTTTGCATCACTTAATTGATGAAGTAAGTTATTGAACACGTGGATAAGGTCAACCATTCTCACCGAACATGAAAGCGGCACAAATGGGAACACACATTGTCTGAACTCTCCAAAATCAGAACTAGGGTGGAAATACTCCCCGAACCACAAGCCAATGACCAAGCAGAATGCCTTCCTATCAAAGCAAACACGATAGTCGCCAATCAGAAATAGAAGCTCTTGTAGGTCAACTGGATCAAAAGTAGTAAATTCCTTGCACATAAGATAGTGATAGAATAAAGGGTGACATTCTACATCCATCTGCATGTTCACGTAATCACCAAAACATAATTGCCTAAACAAGACTCCACAAACTAGTCAGTTATTTAAATGAGTCATGATTTCACGCCCAAGTTTAGGCCTGCAGGTTGTAGTAACAACCGCTTCATATGTTCTGTCGTGCTACAAATCATAAGAATAATTAATTGGTCATTTTTGCATGTATGTTCCGGAGGACATTACTGAATACACATTTCCAGAACATAATTCCAGACTAAAATTTCGAACCCAAATTCCGGAATGTTTATTGTATTCCGGAGGTGTTCTTATTATTCTGGACATGTTTTTCGAATTTCGGACTAGTGAAAATGAAGTTTTTTGGTAACAATTTTTGATGTAGCACCTATACTCGTACATATAATCCTATAATTATCTTTAAACTAATTAAATTCAAAGGAAAACTAGTAATACCTATCTAAATGCATAAACTATATATGTTTTAACGTATAATCTAAAATAAACACATATAATTATAAACATAATGAAAACTTACATATAAAAAATACATCTCATCACCGCTATATGAAGACATTTTTCAGTTTTGGTGGTGTCCGGAATGCTGGTAATCCGAAATGAGAGAGTTCGAAACGAAATCCAAAACAGGTTAAATGATATTTATAGGGAGACCACATTTTCAGGTCAGATCCATTACCCATAAATGCACCGAATACAAAATCGGGTCAGAAATGATCCATTCCAGACCGAGTGGTCATTTTGCAAAAAAAAAAATAGATTTTTATTATTAAAATAACATTAAAAAGTGGTTAGATTACTCAATTTCCCATATCTTAGTTTACAAAAATTTCTATTAACAAAGAGCCGTAAGCTAATTAATGTTGTCCTCTTCACTTCCTTATAGCAAAGCTGGAAGGCTAGGATCGCAAAGGTATTTCAAAATCAGGTGTCATCTCCACTCTCCAGTCACAGTTTTGTTTAGGTTAAACATAGGGCCAAACCAAAAACATTGAGAAAATGACACTCAAATTTGTTAAATGTTAATAGAGAAAGCCTAAATGAAAAAAGTAACAGTCTCATATTCATATATAGTTTAGCTTAGCTTACCAGATTAAGTCAAACCACCTGATGAAACAGGTTGTTACAATTGCATAAATGGATATACATATTATCTGAATATTCACAAAATTCAGGTTTCTAATCTCCAAAAAATCTCTACTTTATTTATCCATTAGACAAAGCTCTGAACTGGAGCTGATAAGTTGAGCTCATGTGCAGCCTGGAAGAAGTCTGCAGCTTGGTGCATCAGACCTTCCTTCTTGCAGATCAAACCAAGGTTAAACCAGGCTTCATGGTTTGTGGGTTCTAACCTCAATGTGTTCATCAACAAGCTTCTTGCAATTGGGACTGTGTGGGTCCCACTCCCACTCCCACCCATTTTTATTAGGGTTTCTGCTGTTGAAATTAAACTTGGGACATAATCCGGTTCTATTGATAGTGAAATCGAGAACGCAACAAGTGCTTCTTTGTGTAAAGATTGAGCTTCGAATAACAAACCTGTGACAAAAGGGTAAAATGGTCAAATATAAACAATCATTTTCTAGACAAAAAGGGTAAAATGGTCATTTACTCTCTCGGTCCAAGAAAGAAACAGTCTCTCCTCGTATAGTAGTTCCATTACCACACAATAATTATGATTTCAGATATTGTGTTCAATTTAACTTATAAATATATAATTGCATTTGTTTTTATCAGAAAGACATTATTTAAGATTTTAAGTATTTACAATTTCATTTTATGACAGTTCTCAAATAAACAGTTATTATTGATTCAGCATTGTTTCTGGATAAAAGGGTAAAATGGTCATTTACTCTCATTCAGTTCTCAAATAAATAGTTATTGATTTAGCATTGTTTGTCATTTACAATTTCAACTTACAACAGTTAGTAAATAATCAGTTAGCATCGCTTCTAGACAAGAGGGTAAAATGGTCATATTTGATTTTCATACAGACATCAACTTAGACAACTAGCTGATGAAATGATGAACAAACCTGTAGAATGCCAAGTTCGAGGGTAGTAGAATTCCTTTAACTTTGCTTTGCCAACACAAATTTCAGCATCAGAAAAAGACTCCAGCTTTGTGTAAATATTTGCTAAATCTAACCAAGCTTCCATTTCAAATTTCCTCTCGCTTTCCTATTTAAACAACAACAATAATAATAATAATAATAATTCTCCTCAATTCCGAATCAATTACTTTGATTTTTATCAGGAAAACAAGAACACAAATAAATATATTCATACCTCAAAATCCAAGTTGACTTTTTGAAGTTCACCATGTGTCTGAATCAATGATAACAAAACCTTGTAAGTTTCTATCGCTTGTTTTGGCTGTTCTTGAGCAATCTGAAGAACTGCTTTCAGTCTAAGCAATTCCAATTGGTCAACTCTTCCAGTTTCATCCAAACCAATGTCAACAATCGTCTCAGAATCTTCAAATCTTTGTTCACCAGATACTATCAAAGCCAATAACTTGAAACCCTTTGCTGAACTCCCACAAATCATGTCAGAATACATCATAATCTTTTCAAATGCAGCTTCCAAGTTTCTCTGTATCGCATTTTCTAATCCCAAATTAAATAAAACTTCTGGATCATCATCAAATCCAATCGAAGCAGCAGCTTTATTCAGGGAGCTGATAGATTCTTGATTGTAAACCACTCTTTCTGTATCAGAAAACGAAACCCTAGCAGCGTTTCCATAACACACTCCAAGAAACTTGTGAGCAATGCTTTCAAAATGCCTGTTTTCAATTTCATCACCCAATTCGATCACTTTTCTAGCAAAAGTTATACCTTCATGGGAATATTTAGGATCTTGAGAACATAATTTTGCTCCCAAAAGAAGAGAAGGGAGATGGGGTTTTGAATTTGATTCTTCTTTAAAAGACCCTGAAATTTTCTTTAAAATGTTGATGGCTGATTCGATTTTACCAGCAGCGCTGTAGCAAAGAGCAAGAAAAAACCATCTTTCGATTCTTGTATATGCAGAAGGAAGAAGCTGTTCGATACGAACAGCTAAACATTCGAATTGGCCACATGTTGATAATGCGAAAGTTAAATGGCTTATGATTTCAGGGTCCCACTTTATTTCTTTACATGATACTTTTCTCATGAGTATAAACAGCAAAATCAGTGCTTCTTCTGTGTTGGATTTAGGGTAAGGTGGGTCCCATGGTTTGGGGTGGGGAAGGGTTGCTTCTACACCTCCGTAAAGTAATATAGCCGCTAAGTCTTTTTGTAGGGTTGATAATCTTTGTGGGTCTAAATTCCAAGAGTTAACGAGAGCCCTTCTGTATGCGATTATGGCTTCATTTAATAATCCAGCTTCTATCCATAACTTTGGAAGCAATTCCAATGCTTTGTGAAACATTTCCTGTAATTTGCAATCTTGAGCTATGGAATCAGGGATTCCGTTAGGTAATGCTGATTCAACTATGTCCAAAATCATCTTGCACTCCTTTGCAGCGTCTGATAAAACAAATCAAATCATATTGGTAGGTAGAAAAGAAGTATTATAATCTATGAGTATCAATGTGTCATACCTTTAAATCTGCCCATCTCTTGCAGTGATTTTGCTTTAAGTAGGATCGCTTCAAGAAGCAGACTCACAGAATGAAGGGACATCACACCTACCACACTATTTTTCCCTTTTGGCCTTGGAATTTCGTTGCAGGGTTCTGTCACTAATCGCCGTAATCATCCTTGGTGACAAGCTTCTGATGTCGATTCCATAGAAAACTTGAAGTGCAGCATCAAAATTGCCTCTCTGGTACTCAAGTCTACCCAACAAAGCTCTGGCTTCCTTCAGTTTCATGTAACAGGCATTCATATACACACATTTTTACTCGATTCCACACAAAAATAGCTAGTATAAGGGAATCTGAAACATAAAATTGAAGAGATAATTTCACCTCATAGTTCAGCGAAAGGGCTTCTTTAAGGGTGGATTCAGCTTCATCCACTTGAGCATCTTCGAATTTTGAATCCCAATCTCCAGTGCCAGTTCGAGAAGAAATTCCACTAGCTGAGAAATCCCTTGTAGCCAATGATTCCGGTGACCGAGAAATTGGCTCTTCTACCTTAAATTGCTCTCCCGAACAAGCACACAACATATTTCAGCTTTATCTGTTCTATCGATGTTTGGAATGAATTGGTTTCCGCTTGTTATATGAAACTATTTACGAACGTAACGTCCCAATTCGCTCATTTGTTCCACCTGAAAATCAATTGCACACAGAAATTTTTCAGCGTAAAGCAATTTCCATCTCATAGTCCATGTTGGCATTTACACAAACACATTTGGGACTGAAATGAATAATGCACCTAATTCGTGTCATATAAGCTTGGATCAGAAAAAAATTGTAGTCTAGGGCTGTAAAACAACAATGGAGATCTGATAGATTGCAGAAACTAACAAGTCCTGCAGCAAATTAATACTTAGAAACAACGCACGAAACAGGAAAACGTTTAGAAACGTTTGAAGACTAGACAGAACAGAAGGAATTGGAGGGAGAAATAGAGATGATGAAGGAAAACGACTAACAGAAAGTGACAAAGTGGCTAGAAAACAAACAAAGCACGAAATGACGGGACGAGCGAGAGAAACAAGAGTTGGCTAGAGCTTGGGAACTACCACCCACGTAAATCACCATTAACGACGTGATTTTCTAGTGATTTAACTCTGTGTTAATATACAAGAAAACACATTTAAAGGAGCTTCATCTTACTGGTTTCCTGGTTTCCTTGAGGTTAAGATGACAACAATTATGAGTAGGCTTTGACATTAGTAAAACGAATCGTGAAATGAAGAAGACGAAGTGATAAGAGATCTGAGATAATTAGTTTTTGAATATGATTGAGAGTGATTGTAACATGTGGTTGGTATGGGGAAGAAAGTGGGGAAGGGTCGTACCACTGCTCCTCTAGTGTTTCCCTCAATGGTCGATTTCAGTTTCTAGTTTCAAAATTTATTGGATTCTCTGCTGAATATTAAAAAATTAGCTATAGAAAGAAATTCTGAATTATTGGCCGATTATAAAAAAACAAAAAATAAATAAATAAAGTAAAAAACAGTTGCTTTTTTTTTTTTTCGTATACCTATATAAGATCCAAAAAGAAATTATTAATTAGAGAAAATCACAAAGATGTCTGTAAGGCAACCAACTTAGTAATTCTAGCCGGCTCGACATGCGTAGTGACAAGCCCCAACTCGGTAGATTTTTGGAGAGTGACAATGCCCTAAAATTCAAATTTTTACATACTTTTCAACTGTAGGGGTGTTTGTGTAAGCTTATTTTTTTGGGCTTAAGCTTATTAGCTTAACAGCTTAATAACTTATGAGCTTATTAGCTTATTAGGTAAAAAAGTGTTTGGATTAGTTTATGACTTATAAGCTAATAAACTCCTTTTAAAATAGTGTTTGGGTTAGCTTATTTTTTGTAATATGACCAAAATGGACATGCTTACATTACACAATTATATAATTTTATCATTAATAGAACTTTCAATTATATAACACAAGTAACAGATGATGCATATGATCAAAATATAATGTTAAAGATAATGCATAAACTCAAACATAATGGTAACGATAATGCATAAAACAATTGTCACATAAGGTAAACAAGACAAAAAAAGGAAAATATAATGCAAATGTGCATAATAAGGACAACAGGAACATAATGCTCTAACATAAAATCTAACACTAAACCATTAACTCAGCTTTGAAATCATTTCTCCATCGGAAATTTCAAGAACTCAATTATTGCCATATGAGTTGTTGGAACCATGAAATTTCAAGAAATATCTCCAACAGTAACATAATCTCGAAATAATGCTACATAATGGGTTTGATACATCTCCAAATTTTTTCCCCTAAACTTGTCATAATCTTTGTCAACCTGTACAACAGAAACAACAAAATCTTATAATATTTCAATATTAATAAACCATGTAAAAATAAAATATATCAAATGTTACCTTTATTTTTTCATCCCACCACTCAGACGATGCAACAATTGACTTATTCACGGGATCCCACCCTATCCCAGATTCAAGTCTCATTAAACGATCAAACAACCTCCAATCTCTCTTCATACTTTCCCAATCGATTTTAATTTGCTTGTGGTTCAAAGTTTTTCCAGTTTGCTCTTTCATATTGTTTATAAGGTTATCATATCCAGCCTTATTGAAATGACTACCTGGTTTATTTCCAAGTCTAGCCTCATTCAAGCATAACTCAACAAATACCATATGAGTTGGTGTATCCCAAAGAGGTAATCTCCTTTCAGTGTTAGAGTCCATGTCACAAATGTTTTCTATAATCCAAATATTCAACAACAAAACAAACTCATAAGAATGAAAGTTGGAAAATAATCATAATATTAAACCACAGATACTATTTCTTCGATTAACCTTATGAGTCTTGACCCAAAAGACCAAGTTTCAAGGAATTCATTATTACCAGTTTTGATCAGAATATTTACTTTAAAGCTGAGAAGAAATCAAGTAATGCATTTAAAAATCTAAGAAAATACGAAGACGAATGATGCACACACCAATTTCTAGTGAGTACTCTAAAATAATAAAATTAGAGAAGGGGGAACATATCGATGGGTGAGTTGACACGATAAGGAGGACCGATTATACCAGTGAAGAACTCCAATTTGTTTTTCTTTGAGTGAGAAGACCACTGCGCAAATCGTTTGTATATATAGGGAAAAAAACCAGGGTGTGTTGTTGGAAGAAGAGACCAACATTTTTGGGGAAGAGGGGAAGATATTTGGGGAAGATAATGGTGCCTGTGAAAGAGAAGGAGTAATGGTAAATGTTGCAGCCTTGGAGGTAATGTTTGGGGAAGAGAGTTCTGTTGTTTTGGGAAAAGAAGAATGAGGGTAATGTTTGGGGAAGAGAGTTCTGTTGTTTTGGGAAAAGAAGAATGAGGGTAAAAACGTAAATGACCATAAATAAGCTCTGGCCTTGAAAAAAAAAGTTGAAATGAAATGACTTATCAAAATTAGCTTATTTTTAAGTAAAATAAGCTTATAAGCTTAAGCTCATAAGCTAACCCAAACACTAATCTTTCCATAAGCCCAAAATATAAGCTCAAAAGCTAAAAAGCCTTACAAATAAGCTAAAACAAACACCCTCTATAATAAATAAAACTTACAAATATCATACTCTATAACTCTCAATTTCATTCCTCCTTGAAAGAAACACATATTTTCTACTATTTTCAACTTCATTCATCTTTCACAATGTCATCCTCAAACTCTCCCAACAACCAAAAATCACTCACTCAACCTTAATCCAATCTCAGGACCCCAATTCCAATTCGAATCCCATACTGAATTTAAGCCTTTTGAGAATGTTCTAAAAACTCAATTCCAATCCCAACCTGAGCCTCAATCCGAGCTCGAGCCCAAATCTGAATTTGGGCCCCAACTCAATGCCCGAAAGGGGAAGGCCTTGAACATATCTTGGATCTCGACATAATAAATGGTGATAGCATCGACTAGGGTCGATGTGTTTAAAGACCCGACAGTCTGCAACAACCAAAAGGGCTAACTTTACAAGACACTTCCTCGCTCAAATGAAAATAGAAGACTATCTGACAAATGATCACTTTGTTTAACAGCTTAAAGCAAGATTGGCATAGTGGTGAAAACGATGCAACCATTTTAGGTAAGGCACTTGAAATTTACCATCGCGGACATGGAAAAGGTTTTAAATTTGTTGAGATTTGGAACATTCTTAAAGAATGCAAAAATGGAATGAAGTCCACAGATCGGGATACTATACGGGTGGTTCTAAAAGAACCAAAATACTTGGTACCTCTTATACATCGTTGGATGGTCATATCATCCTCATACCGATGGCCAGAGTGACAGGACGATTCAAGATTTACAAGATATGTTACATGCTTCTGTGTTAATGACTTGGTGGAGTGTAGGATTCATATCTTCCATTGGCCGAGTTCTCCTACAACAATAGTTATCATTCGAGTATTGGTATGCCTCTGTAACGTCCCAAAAATTAAGACTGAAAATTTCGAGTTTAAAATTAATAAAACCATTATCCAAAATAACCTCATGAAAACCATAGTAAATCGATGTATATCAACAAGCATCACTATACATCAGAGTAATATAAAATGCAGAACAATGTGGTGTGCGTACTGTAATCATCCCGACTCTTCCCCTTCGAACTAGAAGTACCTGAAACATAAATTGAAAACCGTAAGCATAAAGCTTAGTGAGTTCCCCAAAATACCACATACCATACAAATCAAACACATAATGGGCCCTGCCCGTCATCGGGCCCACCCGGCATCGAGCCCTGCTTGGAACAGATCTGTCAGTCATCAGGCCCCGCCTGGCATCGGACCCCGCTCGGTATACATACATATATATAAACACATGCAAAAATCACAAAGATAAAAAGCATACAATATAATCATCTGGCCCCGCCTGGTATACATATAAACACATAACACATGCAAGAGTCACGTAGACAACTAGCATCCTAAACATAACAAACCATGGGCCGACATTGGTGCATTCGACTCGCTAAACACAGTGAGGAAACTCACCTCAAGCTGCTAAATCTCTCAGATAAAATCTCGGACTGTTGATCCAGAAAATCCCCGTGCTAACATCATCAAATAATATCCAATTAACTATGCGATCTCGACCCATAATCAAGAATCCAAATTACTTGTCCAACATCCTGGGTAAAAGAACATTTTACCCTTTTCTTACTTAGCCCAAAACCAAGGCCCAACCCATTTACTCAAAAGGCCCAAATTTCTAAATGGCAACCCAATGCCCATTATGGCCTATCATCCTAATTGGGCCCAAAAATCATCATGAACCTAATTCCAAGAAAGTCCATAGTCTATCCATGGTCCAAAGTCAGAAGTCTAATGGCCCAAAAAGGCCCAAACCCTAAAATCCCAAAATAATCCCGAGTCCAAAAGGCCCAAACGTCGAAATCCCACATCACCGAGTACGCTCGGCGTACTCCTCGTACGCGCAGCGTACGAGTGTTGACTCGAAAACGGGTAGCTGACCCAGTACACGCAGCGTACCAGGGATTACGCCCCGCGTACCGGCCAGAGTCCCATTGTCTAATTTTGGTCTTAACCACTGAATCTATTAACGCCCAAACCTCATATCTACTCCATTTGAAGGTATTAATGCATAAAGTTGGCAGCTTTATAACCTTGCATGTCTTAATGGGACCCAAAACCTGATTTTGTCCATTAAGACCCATAATAAGGACTTTAACTCATGCATGGACCAATATGATTCATCGAGATAGCACCTTTTTACACAAGGAACATCAGAGGGGTTAAGATCTGGCATCGTAGCTCATGGAGTGTCTCAAACTCCCAAAAGAATAAACCAAAAAATAATAAGTCAAAAACAAGCCCTAATCTCAAGCTAACACAAAGAGATTCCAAGATAAGAACTTTATACCTTCTAGAGGTAGCAAACTTGATGAAGATTTTGGATCTACAACCTCAAGTCCAACCAAAGATTGGTCACCAAGAACTACCTTTTTCAATGCATAAAAAGTAACACAAAATTACTTCCAAAGCTCAAGAACACACTATGGGAGGCTAGGGTTTTGATTTTAGGGTATAGGGGAGTGGAGGCTGACCAAAAGATACAACCAAGGCAACATAAGTTGCTTAAATAGGGTACAAATCCTAAAAATTAGGGTTTGCCCCTGCTTAGCGTATGTCATGCGTACTCCCACGTATTCTCAACGTACGTTGGCGAACCCGCGATCCTGAAATGAGCTAGTATGCTAAACGTACTCATAGAGTATGCCCAGCGTACTAGATAGGGACCAAAAAGATAGAAACTTTGCATTAAGGGGTTAAAAGGGAAACATACCAAATCTCGAATGTTACAATTCTCCCCTATTTGAATCAGACTTTGTCCTCGAAGTCCGCTGCCCCAAATAGCTCTGGGTAGTGCTCCCTCTTCTCTTCGTCTGGCTCCCACGCCCATTTTGACCCCTTGCGGTGCTGGCACTGAAATTTCACCAACTCCACAACCTTGTTCCTCAAGGTTTTCGTCTCTTTTTCAAGAATCGCCACCGGTCTCTTGATAAAATTTAGGCGATCATCCACCTGAATATCCTCCAATGGAACCACCACAGAATCATCCACTAAACATTTCCGCAACTGAGAGATATGGAATGTGTTATGGATCTGACTAAGCCCTCGGGAAGATCCAAGCGATAAGCAACCCGGTCCACCGGGGCCAAAAACCTGAAAGGACCGATGTACTTGGGACCCAGATTGCCCATCTTCCTGAATCGGATGACACATTTCCAAGGTGACACCTTCAGGAGAACCATATCCCCAACCTGGAACTCTAGATTTAATTGGTGCTTGTCGGCATAGCTCTTCTGCCGACTGTGAGTTATCTGGAGTCTACCCCGAACCTGTTGAATCAACTCGGTAGTCTTGTCGTTAGGCCACTGATGCTCGGCCTTGACTTTCCTGCAAGTCAAGCACCTCTCCACATACCAAGCTACATCCCGCTTCATACAGGGCCACTAATAGTCAGGACGAAGATCTCTATACATATTTGTCTCCCCAGGATGAATGGAGAATCTCGATTTGTGCGCCTCGTCCATCAGAACCTGACGCGCACCACCCTAATAAGGTACCCACACCCTCCGATGGAGAGTCAGTAATCCCCAACTATCATAATCGAAGAAAGCCACCTGGCCCACTATGCACTCACTCTTTCTGTCACACCCCCGAACCAGACGGCGGAAACGTCCGAGGGCTCGTGTGACTTAAATTGAAATATCATCACAATGAATATACATGAAACATAACATAAACATCACCATGCATTAATACATTACAACTATCATTGTTCACATCAAGTACATTGTTTACATTACATAATCCCAAACATAAATTGTTTATCAAATGACATCACACAAAAGACATTCAGACACACGCTTGATAATTCTTCATTCTAACGGTTACCTGAGAATACAAGTTATTTGAAAAAGGTCAACATATATAATGTTGGTGAGTTCATAAGCAGGTTTGATATGAAAATGTTTTGTATTGTTTGTAAAACCCAGAAAATCCGATATTTTCTGAAACATGAATTGTTTACGAAAAAGGTGTGATGATCCATAAGTATACGTGTGAATGATTTCAAAACATGTAAAAGTGAAATGTTTTTCATAATAGTTTCTTGTATTATAGTTATTGTAAGTAAAAGTGCATAATGTTGTTCCCCCGGAAAACCCGATGTTTTCCGATA